TGAGGAGGCACAACCATACATTTTCAGTTGGGGGGGGGGGGGCACTATCAAGTACCAAAATTCCTTGACAAGCAAAAAAAAAAAGGGGGGGTCATCAGACGTTATTATTAAGATTGTCACAAGAAGGTAAACTGGATATCTATGTTAAGATCAAAACTTTTACTTTTCCTACCATTTGAACAAAGGAACGTATTTACGTAATTTTCGTACGTCTAATTTTACAAATAGAAAGAGGTCGTTATTTGCACATTCCTAGAAATCAAAGACTTTGTATTAAATGCTCAGTAAATGTTATTGAAGACGAAAAACACTTTTTGAATGTTTGAATTATGTTACAGATAGAGAGAAAATGGTGAATATTATACAGAAACACTGTATCAATTTTGCTCATTTAAATAATGAAAATAAGTTGTTGTGGGTTCTAAACTGAGAAAATATTAAGTGCTTTCTGCTGTTTGTGAACTGGCTAGACAAGTATTACGGGAGGTTTGTCCGTCAAATTCTAATTCTGGCCCAACCGTGAGTTTTCCTCTTATTGTTGAACCCAGATTCATAACACCTCCAATAAGCCAACACGCGTTATAGTTTTAGTACTTTTATATAGAATCAGCATGGAATATACTTTTACATGAGTTTGGGATGTATCAGCACCGAAGATCTGATTCCAACTGACTATATATTTTCAATAATAAAACATACATACTGAACAAAGAAAGAGTAAAATAATAGAATTAACAAAAAGTTTAAAGAAATCAAGTATCAAACAATAATTGAGAGAATGGTGACATTTTAGCGGCATGTATATAATAGAATAAAAGTAGATGAAAGATTAAGTGTCAATAATTATAAATAGAAGTCAATTAGGAGATTAACTGTCCATCTCTGACTGTGCCTCAGGTAGGATTAGGGCTGTGCGGAATTTATAGAATTTGTCACATTTGCCGAAATATACGAAAAGTTTATATAACAATTTATGCAAAGTCCGAAAAGTTAATTAACACAGTAATATACACTAAGTCCGAAAAGTCGTATTTTACACCGTAACACATGCTCCGCCTTCTGTGTTACGGTGTAAAACACGACTTTTCAGACTTATTATAAATTACTGTGAAAATTAACTTTTCGGACTTCGTGTAAATTGTTATAAAAACTTTTCGTATATTTCGGCAAATGTGACAAATTCTACATATCCTTAATCCTAGCCAAGGCACAGTCAGAGATGAACACTTAATCCCTTAATTGACTTCTGTTCATAATCTTTCATCTACTTTAATTCTATTATATACATGTCGCTAAAATGTCACCATTCGCTCAATAATTGTTTAATACTTGATTTCTTAATACTTATTGTTAATCCATTTATTTTGTTCTATCATTATTTAATATGTATGTTTTGTTCTGAAAAATTATAGTCAGTTGGAATCAGACCTTCGGTGCTGATACAATCCAAACTCATGTAAAAGTATATTCCATGCTGATTCTATATAAAAGTACTAAAACTATAACGCGTGTTGGCTTATTGGAGGTTTTATGAATCTGGGTTCAACAGTAAGAGGAAAACTCACGGTTGGCCCAGAATTAGAAATTGACGGACAATTCATCCCGTAAAACAAGCCATTTAAATATTATGCATATGTTAGTGAGAAAAAGTCACATTACAACATTTCTTTAAACATTAAGTACATGTAATATGTGAAAAAAAAAACACTATGTATTGTAATAGTTAATACTTTTGCATCGCCACGTCGTATCTTTTGCAATGCGAGAACCTCCCCACTTTGCATTAGGGTACACGCTAGTACTATTATCAGTATTATTTACATATACATAGAGGATATCTAATGTTTTGTAGATGAATATATATGGAATTTATTTCACTCGTGAGACATGATTTTTTTTTTATATTTTCACGGGTGCAAAGCACGAGTGAAAATATCAAAAAATCATGTCTCACGAGTGAAATAAATTCCATATTCATCTACAAAATATTGAATTTTCTGTTTATTACATTTTCTTAAATTTCATTGGCGGATCCAGAGGGGGGGGGGGGTTCCGGGGGTTGGAACCCGCCCTTTTTTATTCGGACTGCGGGGGGAGGGTGGGGCATGGGGGCTTTTCAACGTAAATCAAAGATATTATTTACCAAACCTAAGAATCTCCGTGTGTGTGTGTGCGCCATTTACAAAACACGGACAGGTCACGGAATCACGGATGTACGGAAATATAGAAAATAGTACAAATCACGGATTGTTTTTGCACGGATGATAAATTCGTCCGTACATCTCCGTACATTTAAAACTATCATTATGAATATTATTCCGTGAGTTCTGTAATTAAAAATAAAACAATAAAACAATGCACGGAATTTATTTGTCCGGAGAAAATGTTACAAAATTTAATAACAAAGATTTATAGGATAAACATCATTTATGAACTCTTACAATCCATACATTTGATTGTTTTAGACTTTCTAATTTGTTTTTCATTAAGTGTCGTATTTTGACATCGTGGATAAAACCACTGGCGGCACTTGGTACAATTAAACATGAATCCATGTGTGTATTTACGATCTGAATAAAATTGTCAACAACTGGACGGAAGCACGGTTTTTCAGCATAGACACAAGGCTGAAAGCCGGCAATGAAGGGGAATTGTTTTTTAAGAATACTTTGAGCAGCATCGATTACGATGTCATCGAGCCATCCGTTATCTACGGTACCGTAATGAATTTGACGAACATTTCTTGGCATGTCCGCGATTTCATCATTTTTTTCCGTAACAACGGATTCTTTATAAATTTTGTGTGCACTTTTGTCATTGGACTTATGTTTTCTTCAATTTTTTTTTACCACGGAGGGTTTAATTCTCACGGATATTTTTGTCTGTTTTGTACAATTTCCGTGAGCTATATTTATTAACAATAAATCTTTGCAATATACCTATGTCCATCAGCAACCCAATCTCTATCTTCCATTTCGTTTTTTGGATGAAAGACATAAACTTCGCCGCCTCTTGGACGAAATGGCATTTGTGAATTGTGTTCTTTATATAGGATTAAATGTTCGACATCTCTAACACTAAGACTAGAGTGCCTATTTGAAATTATAGGTTCAACTTTTGTAGATTTATCGTCATCCATCTCGCGCCAAATTCTAGCTCTATTTGTGACGTCACTGTGGATACCATTGTTACGTATACAGTAAAGCTATACGGATTTCCGTAAACTCAAATGTAAAATAATAATAGCTACTACCAAATAACACAAAAATATATTATCCGTGATTTTAATTTTCCGTATTCCGTACATAAAAACTCTATCCGTAATTTCTCCGTATTTTGTAAACTTATTTCCGTATTTCCGTGCATCCGTATTCCGTGACTTATCCGTGTTTTGTCAACCTCCGTGTGTGTGTGTGAATCTATGTTTGAGGGTGTGTTGGTGTGTGTGTGAGGGGGGGGGGGGTTGAAGGTCACCACCCTGGAACCCCCCTTTCAAAAATTGCTGGATCCGCCTCTGGATTTTCCCTTTCCCTCTGTCTTTTCGTAACACAGTACTGTCATAGGCTGTGACGTCATAGTTGAGCGGTTGAGACGTCATAGCTAAGCGATTGCGAGATTGAAAAACGTTGTAAACATGGATTTTTAACGACATATTTGGGGAAAAAAAACTTTGGCAGAATAACTATTAGTCTCTGCCAGGATGGCTCATTAACTTTATCTTATAACAGGCCATGGATTTATTTAAAAATACTCTTCGTGAAGGGAACGACAATCGTAAGTTTTGCCGCACTTCTGATAATCTCACACTGTGAGAATACCATGCTTTCACACTGTGTCAGAATATCACTTTTATTCAGTAAATAAATTACAGTATTTCACTGTTGAAAATGTAATAAGTTTAAACTTCATTATAGGCCTATACAACAACAATGTTACATGTACTTTAGATTATTTTGTATATATACACATAATTTGTCTGTGCTGTTTGTAATTGTATGAACCATGCTTGTTGTTTGCGATGCCTGAAAAGGCCCTGATTTCTATAGTTTGTTTGTTTTTTTTTAAATATTTTTATTTTTAATGACATACAACATATTTTTGAGGGAAGAAGCCCTCCGTAGATACCTCACCTGAGCTGGGGTACCAGGAACTCCCTGGATTGGTAATTTATTTCGTTTATAAATTATTGAATATTTCCATAATATATTTGAAAACAGCAGAAAAAAAGACAGATAAACATCATTGTGTGAATAATGCAATTATTACAGACTGATTTCTATAGTTGGTCGTCAGTACTGCGCATTGGCTCTCAAAGAATAATCTAACTGTTTCTCTGGACAAGCCCTCACCACAAGCCGGGTTAAACCGGGTCCGTAGAACAATTATATCATTTTAACGATAGAACGTTCTATCTAAAAGTTACCTTACCCAGAGGCACCCAACCGTGATTTTTTTGAGAAGTTAGGTGTACAAGAAATAAACATTAAACGATGTATTTAACATAAAAAATTACTGCTCTAAATTTATATCATCAATAAGTAGGAATTAACAGTTATAAATATTTCTCAACAGGCTTTATTTAATTTTCTAAGTCTCTTCCATTATTAGTTATTATTTACCTGCAGTGCAGGTTTCAAAATTTTTTGAATAAATTCTGACTAACGTCAGGTGAGCGAATGTGTTATATTCTGATCAAAATTTGTCCGTCGTCTATGATTTAATATTGCGGGAAAAGGCCTTGTCTTTGACATTAGTATTATATAAAAAATAGTGAAAGAAAAATAAAATAAGTAATAATTATTCTTATAAGTTCATAATACAATTTTGTTGATATTTTTATTAATTATTACGAAAAAGTAATAATCTTGTATTATTATTTTTATAATCATTAACAGAATAAGGTCGAAAAAAATATTTTTATTATTTCTTTTATCTTTTGAATTATCGAACTTTGACTAGATAGGCTCCTCAGCATCGGGATCGATATCCAAGATATTGGAAAGTGAAAATAGACATGACTGGGAAATCGGGAGTGTTTTGTTGGAAGCAACAGTTAACATGGTTTGTTAAATTTTGCTATAAATCGCCACGTTAAAATTGTCTTTAAAAGGTTAACTATTTTACTGTGAATTTCGCCATCAGAAGTCTGTTTACAAATGGGATTATAGGCCTAGAACAGAGGGAATAAAATGAAGATGAGAGTCTTCAATGCAAAAACGAATTATATTCAGTAACTCTGTTTTGTGAATTTATCCATTTGTAAAATCAAATGGAAAGCTACATGGTCGCAAGCTAAATTCAGTTTGGCATTTTTCACATGCAGTACATTGTCACAGTTACAAACTGTTCATATTATAACATAAAAGTATGAAGTCTCATGCATTTTGATGAGGTGGATCAAACTTAAAAGTATGCATTTTAATGAGGCACATCAAAGCTATTAGTAAAGTTTTTTATGGTATCTGGCTGTATATGTAAATACATCTGCACTAGCCCAAATTGTCAAACCTTAAAACATGAATTGATGATTGAATTCTACACCTCTAAGATGTTGTTTTGCATATTGACAGTTATCTTCTGTAGCCAGCATTTACTGCTTCGTAACATAGTATTTTTTCCCAAACAACTATTATGAGTAATAGAAATTTTCAAAAACTTTAAGGACTCCCAGTATGTGGGGATCAAGATTCCAAACTTCTCAGATATTTCCTACAAATTTGGAAATACCTGAGCTAATATGATGTCATAAGTAAAGACATATTTAGTGAGGATAAAAACAATAGTTTGTGGCTTGAAAATTGCATTAAATTCTTGTTTGTAAATTTTTTAAAGTACGTTATTGATTAATCTGCTAACCCTCTTACAATTCTATTCTCTACATTGAGATATTGCAATGAACGGAATTGTTGGGAGGGCACTAGACTAGTCATTGATTAAGCCACAAAATGGGGATTTATAATAGGAGTTTTAAATTGTTTCCCATGGACTCATAAGATTTTAATTGAGCAATATTTGGATTCAGACTCGAATCACCTCCATTCAACTACATTGTCGCTGCACTGGCTATAAGAAAATCAGCAATTAATATTTTCCCTTTTTCTGTGATGTAATTCAGATTGTACTGAAAGTCTTATATATTAAACAGTGTTTAAAAATGTCCAAAAAGAATACCTGCATAGTAAAGAGTTAACTCATGTATTACACTTGTAAATCTGTTCTCTTATACATCAGAATTTGTTGATGTTTTTTCCCATGTTTGTAGGAGTACTTTAAAGAGGGCGCTGTCCACCACACATCGGTCTGTTCTGGAGGGGTACGATAAAACCCAGGCTGCTCTGATGGAGGAGGAGTGCATTCTTACAGACAGGGATGACAAAGTTATGGGAAAAGCCTCCAAAAAAACCTGCCACTTAATGCAGAACATAAACAAAGGTGAAAAAATGGGGGAAATCTAACAGGGTTTTAAAAGTGGTGTACATACAGATGAATAAATTAATTATCTTCTCAAGGTCATATCAGACTCTCAAGGTCATATCAGACATTAGAAGCCGAGCATGAGATATCTTTGTGTGGCAGTCAGACAGGTTTGAATGCGGATGGCCAGATAGCTCATTTAGTAAAGCACTTGTTTGGAGATTCGAGGGTGCCTGGGTTCAAATCCTGGTCTGGTCGGTCGCATAATTCACCTCTCCTGTTACATTTGTATGGTGTGATTGGTTTTTTTTGTTTGTTAGGTGTGATTGGTTTTTTTTGTTGTTAGGTATGATTGTTTTTTGTTTTTTTTTGTGTTAGGTATGCTGCATCGGGCTTTTAGTGTGTTCCTCTTTAACTCGCATGGTAATCTGCTCTTACAACAAAGATCTGATGCCAAAATTACGTTTCCAGGTAACCATATTGTCTGAGAAATCTATTTGAATTTCAGAAATTAAGAGAATATGACTTAGCTGTACTCGTTCATACAGAAATATTTCATAAAGCATCTTTAAAGTGTAAAAGATTCACATTCAAACAGCCTCTTTCAAATATTTAATTCAAATGATTTTGTTTTATTTCCCTAAAATTAACTTGAATATTAAGTTTATTTTCATTTAAATGTTATCAGGAATTAAATTGCATCAAACTTTTATATCTTTGCTTATTGGTGATTGTTCATGTGAAAATTACTATCAATGTTGTTTCTTTTAAGAATCATAAGGAGAAAAAACAGTGCTAGTTGCTGTATACAAATTCTGAACTTTGACCTATTTTCTTCGGTGCCTTACATTTACGAAAAAAATCCTTTAAACGCTACTGTACCCCTTATATGACTATCAGCTTCTTGCTAAATTGAAGTAATTCTGCTAGAGAATATGCAGGTGTATGTTACACAATTGCTCTGTGATTCTCCCTGATTTTATGGTTAAAGTGATATTGTTTGTCTTGCCATTAAAATTAAGAGAAATATGAAAATCATATTAATATTGGAATCTTTTTATATGATCTTTAATATTTTTCTTAAGTGAAGAATGAATTGTATACATGCATGTACAATGTGCGTAACAATTTTAGGTCATTTTACAAACACCTGCTGTAGCCATCCTTTACACACACCTACAGAACTAGAAGGCCATGATGCGTTGGGAGTTAAAAGAGCAGCTCAAAGAAAACTCCAACATGAACTTGGCATTGATCCAAATAAGGTGAGTCCTTAAAGACACATTTTTTTTACCGTACGGTTACCTGAGGAGAGGGAGTGGTCTTGGTAGTACTGGTGTTATTCATCTGGAGGGCCCCAATACTCAAGATGTCAAAAATCCCTATGTATGAGGGGTGATCAAAAAGTTTGCGAACTATCTCTATATTTACAAAACCACAATTCATATCAAAATGAAATTTGGCACACATATAGTCAAACACATATTCTATAAATAGCAGATGTTATGTAATGTTTTGCTCCATGTTTGTGACGTCACAATGTGAAAATGACTTCAATATGCAGGTGACTTGTGACAAAGAATGATTGACTCAGTCGTACTCGAGCAACGAACGCCTATAAAGTTTAACGTGTTTCTTGGATATTCCTTTGCAGTAGTATATAATAATTTGTACAAGGTTTATATAGACGAAAGACTTGCCAGAAGTTCAATCATTAATTGGATTGATTGTTTTAGTGAAGGAAGGGAGATGGTTAAAAATAATGTTTGTTCTGGTGCCCAGTGAAAGCAAGCTGGGGAAGGGATATGTCCTTAGTTGAGCAATTTGTTATGAAAGATCGCCAAGTTACAGTTAGAAAAATAGTTGAATGTCTGAACAATAATATAATTATTAAATCCCTAAAATATCATTTATTTTAGACTTCAAACATATCAGATATGATAAAAAGAAGGCGCCCATACTTTATTCACATTAAATAAACGACACTCCCAAGACAGAGGACTCGGGTTGTGATGGTCACCATACTCATTCTTGGAAAGGATATCCTTATTCACCCATCCTATTGCCGAGATTTGGCCATTTCTGACAAATGAACTGTTCTTGTTATAAAAATAGCTTGCACTGTAAGAAATATATGACTCGGAAAAATCTTTTAGCTTCTGTGAACAGAACGCTACGGAGCATGTCACGTTACCACCTGTATCTTGTGATTCGCGCGTGGGCAGAACAGTGGCAGATGTGCATTTAAATCGGAGAGGACTGCGTTAAAAAATAATGATCACTGAAATCTAATGTCATTTCTTTTATGGAAGTAATTCAATTAGTTGGCGAACTTTATGATCACCCCTCTTACATTGTAGTACACAGGAAGTCTGTCTTTGGTAATCAGGATCAACATTATACGTTTTTGTCTAATTTTGAGAGAAACTATTGTAAATAATTTTTATATTTTAATATAAAATTGGTTAACTTAACGTTTTCATCGATATCTTTTGAAGGAAAAAAAATTATAGAAATATCTTCTTCTTCTTTTAAGAAAAAAAGTAAATAAAAATAAAATCACGAATGAAAACTACAAAGCAATCATATCAATATTTTTTAATCGTCAGTAAAAGAAATCATCATTCTATAAGTGTAAATATTGAATTAAAGAGATTTCATTTATCATGTGGACAATCCGACATGTACCAGGGTTCTCCACAAGGGGTTTTACCATGGCGGCCCGCCATGGTTAAATTTATGTGCGCCATGGTTAAACGAGCTGCGCCATGGTCAAAATCGGCGGCCGCCATGGTTAAATTTTTATTGCATTTCAGTATTGACACCAACTTCTAAATGACTTGAGTAGTTAATTGTGTTTATACTACGACAGCCTAGCCGTGCACCTCGCATGCCTCGATAGAAAGTGGACTGTGCTAAACAAACAAGGTCGTTGATCGGCGACAGTGCAGTGAAGCGTGACAATGGAGAGTCAATCAGCTGATGATTAATATCTTGAGAGTTAATTATCCTTTACACATGTAACTTCGGGGAATTCCAACGTGTTCACTATAAGACAACAGATTTACAAAAGATGACATAACGAGCAATGACAAGCGTCCGATTCAAGTTTCTCTGTCCAAACAAAGTTAACCCTTTCAAAATTCCCTGTTCTTTGTATCTAATCAATTCCTCATGCCTTGTTTTTAAGTATTAACTTTTTTTTTATCTTTTTGATGAAATGTATGCAAGTGCCAATCGCCATCTTAGTTTTAGAGTTACCTCCCGTCTTTATGAAACGTCGCGTGGCACTATTTTTAGCACTGGGGCACGTGGAGAAGTAAACAATGGAGGAAACTCGGCGAAAATGCAATATGTAGAAAAAAAGAACGTTTAGAAAAAAAAAGCAGAACAGAGAAAGCAATATTACAGTTATGTCAATAAAATTTATGCCCCTGGTTATATAAACTTAATAATTAAGTTACTTTACCATGCATGCCATCAGTAAGTTTTCATAGACCATGCAGTTAAAACTTTATAGGCAGCTAGGATGTTGATGTTCGTTCGTCTGTTCATTTGTGCGTCTGTTAACTTTTTTTTCCAAATTACTACCCATTCATCAGTTTTAGTCATATTTAATAAAACGTTTCATACAACAGGCAACATCAATTCTGTATATCAGTTTTTGAATAATGTTGCCATGGTTACTCTATCAAAATATTTTTTTGAAATTCCTTCAAAATGTTCCTATAGTTTTGGGCCAATTTTGGTGTATTTGTAAAGTAAGATAAATAATCATTTTAATTTTTATTTATATTTTTTTAACTTAAAAAAATTATTGGTTATTTCAACTTTTTGTGTTGCAGTGGTTAAGTTTTGTGAAATAAATCATTAATTAATGAAGGTTAGGAAGTCTAACATGCATTCGTGTTTTCGGTCATATTTCCTTCGCGCAGCTTCCTCCATGGTTAAATTTTGAAATGTGGAGAACCCTGATGTACCATAGCCAGAATAATATTTATTTTTCTGGACAACAATTGTGTCCAAAGTATTCACAACTGCAATTTCCGGGGTCCGTGTTTTTATGCCCTGTTCACAGATTTGTATTGTGTGTAGACTTTTTTTTTTTAAAAAAACAGATTGATCACTTTTTTTAAAAAAAAAAGATTGATCACTGTTCGTTATCTTCATCCTTTAATATTACGAATATATACGTTAGAGGAAATTCGAACAATGATTGTGACATTTCTTCCACCGAATGGTTTAGATGATTTGTATTTTATAATCTGTTTGTCTTTAATAACAATTTTTGCTAAAAAATAGAACGACACTTCCAAACTGTAATTTAAAACAAAACCCCGAATATGATCCGCTATAGTTTTTCTTCGGAAAGTTCTACAGTTGAGTTATCTTGGACGTCATATCGCTTACAAGTACCAAACCAAATGGAGATTGAAAAAATAAATCATAAAGTCAATGTTTAATTATTTTTTGAAATATAATTACCAAACAATATTATAGTGATTTGATTTTTTTTTTTACCAGAGTGTAGGCCTATACATATAAAGCAACTATTCATTTGGTACATGAAAGCATTTTACGCGTGACCAGGAATTGTTTTGAAAACATGCAAACTCAGATTATCAGGTAGTACAGATAGCTGGCCTGTCAATTAAATCAGTAGCTATTGTTTTTTCAATGATTGACAGGCGGTATATTATTGATCTGGAATAAGGTAAATTTTGGGGGCGTTAACATAAAATTGGGTGTTTAAAGTCAACTGTCACATTTTCAAGAGTTATTTCCCTTTTGCACAGTCAATCTAAGGTTAACCGGCTGTTTTCTTTAACATTACAAAGTTTATTCAGAAATGTCTTACAAATGAAAACTGTATGACATGTACATTCTAGTTTTTTGTAGCCTCATGCTATGCCAATATAAGAATAATATAGAATAGTCCAAAAGCATTTAAAGTTTTAAAATATTTACAGATATTAAAGTTACAAAAGATAGTATTCAGAGATGTATGTATTATGTAGACAAAGTAAAATAACTTTTAGGAATGTGAAAGTCATCTATTGATCAAAGGGAGACTTTAATTGGTTTAGATTTAATTACAATGTAGTAATTCATTTTTTAATATTTGGCTTAATATTTCATGACTTCTTAGCTGTGTTCAATCCCATTTTGTTCCTCAAACCATCTATACAAAGAAATGTCATTTTCTTGAAACAATTTTTGGCTATAGTTTGTTTACCCAGGAAGTTCTTATTGTGACTTCAGAGATTCTGAATCAGATATTGTAGACACTGGAATACACAGAAAATTACACCAAGAGTTGACCTTCATAAATTTTGTTGCAGACAGAGCTACACATGTATCATTTCTTTGGGTTGGGGTGGGGGGGGGGGTACTACTGGATAAATACACTTTTAAAAAACAGATTGATTCTTTCATGATAGATAAGATTCCTTATAAAATATGAATGCAATGGAAAACTTTTATCATGCCTAACTATATTTTTGTGTATAATCTGTAGCTAAAAGTCATGATTTAGTAAATCTGGCATCAGATGATAATTTTTGCCTAGAATATACTTTTTTCTGTTCCAATAAAATTTTTCAAGGTGTAGAGGAAGTCTTGCTATATATATTATTAAACATTTACAGATCACATGCATTTTTTTTTAATTTCATATGGTACATGTATTTGCAGATTTTAAAATAAACATATATTTTTTGTTTCTTTGTAACAAAGCTTTCAACAGAAGACCTCAAGTTCTTGACCCGGGTCCATTACCTAGCAGAAAATGCCCCGGACCCTGGAGTGTGGGGCGAACACGAGATTGACTACATACTAATAGCCCAGAAAGACGTGGCTATTACTGCTAATCCTAATGAGGTCAAAAGTCATGTATACGTAAACAGGCAGCAATTACTGCAGATGATGGGTATGTAAATAAAAGAGTTTATTACTTTTCTTCATTGTTGCCAGCTATCTGATTGGCTCAAACTAGATCACATGATCAAGTATAAAAAGTCTTATAAACTGGATGTTTCTATTTTAAGCTTCTAAAAAAGCTTATAAACCTGCTGTTTCTAAAATTGGAAACGTTCTTCCATGAAGCAACAATATGTTGATGTCACAATATTCTTTATAAACTGGATGGTTCCAAAAACAGATACTGTAGCTGCTATTCATAAATGTGACGTCATAATGCATATGACATAATAATGCCTTATATGAGAAAGTACTGAGTTTAAGAACCATGGATTTTAAGACGTTTCTTATTAACTGATAAGAAAAAATTACAAAACAAATACAGTCTTTTGATTCGGTACAATCCCTTGATATATCGACCTTAGAGAAAGCATATCGACCTTGCACTTCATGCTCAGTCAATATGCTTTCTCTTAGGTCTATATATCTAGGGATTGACCTCATCAAAAGGGTATATTTGTGTAGCCTAAAATATCCCCCACACAGTGAATCAGTCCTCAAATCATTTAAATTAAAAGATGCTTAAAAGAATTTACTTTTATTTTATTCTTTTTTAAGTGAATCAATTGCTTATCAATTTAGGAGTAACAAATTATATGTCTGTAAAAGTCTTATTCTTGCATACCCAAATTAAGATGGCAGCAAATGATAAACAAGACTTAGTTTATACCTGAAATTTTCCCCAAACATACAAAGAGCAGAGTGAAAAAAAAATAATGATATGTGTATTATTTCAATCTTTGATTGATTGAAAGCTTCTTCTTATTGATGAAAATTATTCATCACTATTGAGTTGATGAAAAGGAAGGACCTTCAATGTGTAACAACTAAATCCAACTGTTGATACCTGAATTATTTCTAAAATTAATTTCATTCCAAATTTTAGATTTGATATACCAGCTGGCCAGTATATATTTTTCCTGAATTATACAAATGCAACCATCATTACATTTATATGAAAAGCTCATGAACAGTGGAGATATAGAATGTAATGTCCTCTAACACATTTCATGATTTTTTTTTTTTTTTTTAATTATTTTCCAGATAAATCCAGGACAGGTGATATTTTAATTACTCCATGGTTTAGGTTGATTGTGGACAAATTTCTGATGAACTGGTGGGATAATTTACCTGACATTGAACAACATAAAGACAACCATATACATAGACTGTGTGATAAATAACAAAATAGGATCATAGGAATGATTATTGTTCATTCATTGATGTTATATAAATGTGCAATAAAAATGTCTGTGAAATTATTTTTTTTTCTACATCTTAAAATCTTTGATCTTGTCTTCTGACTGTTTAAAAAATTGTTGTGCATACACCCAGTAAATGTTTGCACAAATACCGGTAGTTATATATATATACAGTTGAACTTCGGAATCTTGAACGCTGATATTTCGAATACAGTGGATATGTTGAAGTGATTTGGAAGTCCCAACCACTTATTCTTTAAGTATTTTACCCCTGATATCACGAATTCTTGGTCATCTCGGATTTTTTTTCTTCGTCCTATTGAGTTTGAGATTATGAGGTTTGACTGTATATATGTAGTTACTCATTTAAATAATAAAAAAATACCTACAAGTATTCCATCTGTTGGTTAAAATGTTAAGATATTTTTATTTAGACATCCTTACCAGAGTTTAATAGTATTTCAATTCAAGCATATTTTTAAAGATTTTATTTTCTTTATCAAAAATATCAATTAAAATTATGGAAAATATGGCTCTATATAAACCAAGATTTTTTGATTTGGATATTTTCTTGCAAATACGAGTTGAGAATAGATATAAAATTACATGAAAAGTGATGGATGTAAAGTCCCCATGGCACACTCCTACATCAAGAACTTCAGAATCCCCCCCCCCCCCCACTGAAGTTTGAATGGATGATAATGTTTAGATTGTACATGTAACCTGGAGTAAGAAACAATGGTATATATCGGTATGAGAGGGATCTGATTAAAAACAGATTCAGGATTTTTATTAATTAAGGATCCTTTATACACTGGTGAAAAATGTTTTTTGGACTTTGAGAAAATTGTATAGTGCACATGTAAAGGAGGATATTTTGAAATTAACTAATTATTTTTTTATCTAGGGAGTATGCCTTTTTTTCCTGGAAAAATCTTTAAATCTTTAAAGACAATGAAGTAATGATAAAGAAAAATAGCTTTTGCTTTATACATGTACTCAGACATTGAAGAAAATACATGCAGATAATGTTTTCAGCTCCAATATCTTGGTCAAATGTAATGTAATGTTTAGAATATTTGGATTTATTTCAAATTCTATCTTTCAGTGCACAATACAATTTATTTTATTTTATGTCAGATACAATTTAGCTATTTTATTTTATGTCAGATGGTGGGTCAGCCTAACTACACAAAAGTACCCTGTAATTAGGGTGCAGTGTAGAGTGGATCCTTAACGCTTAACAGCTATATTTATACGAGACACAATTAATGAGTATTGGACAGAAAGTTGTATAGGCACTTCACATATACAATACACATACAGTTAGTTTTTTGTTGCTGTTGGGGGAATTGGGTTCAATGTTAAAAAAAGACAGCATTAATCAGGCTGTTGGTCACAACTGTTACCCTAACATAAAATCCCTGTAATTTCATAAACTATACATATATTAAATTAAGTTGGCATTTGGAATCAGCTTCAGTTCACTGGTATTTTATTTTGTTTAATACCAATACCATTAGTTTTTCATTTTGAGAGGGGTCAATCGCTTATGAGGGTGGTAAATTATATTCAGCTCTCTTCCATACTGTAAAGGCTTCCTATAATATATATTTTTAAACGCTGAAAAGCAATATACTCTCAATCTTTCGTTTTCCTGTACATCTGGTCTTCTACTATTTTAATTTGTTACCTGCTGTGCAGGCTTCAAAATTTCAGAATAAAAATCTGACTAACGTCAGGTGAGCGAATGTGTTATATTCTGATCAAAGTTTGTCTGTCGTCTATGATTCGTGCGCGTATGAAACGGAATTTTAATGTAAAAATGCTTTAAACATTATTAGTGATTAATTTTCTTAGATGTCTTTTTAGTTTAATTTCGTTTGAAACTTCTATACTTTATTTTTTTTTTTAAATAAAACAAAATAATAAAAAATCTTGTTAAAAAATAATTTATCAATAAGGACAATTGATTTTTATTTAATTGATTTAAACATATCAAATCAACTTTTAAAGGGCATATTGAGTTATCTAACGTTGCTCGAACGCGGACGAACAACGCGAGTATGTGAAATATCTATTAAAAAGAAGAAAAAAACATAAGCATGCTCGTGCGCTGAAATCTGATTGGCTAATGTGGAGTTTATATCATTCTACGATAAATTAAAGGTGCACTATGTCTTCTCTTCATTTCCATGTTATTGATTTGTTCTGAATTTATGTTATTTTTGTGTTGGTATCGATATAATACAGCAACTCTTTTTTTAATTGTTATCTTTTATCTGTTAGCTACTTGTACATATGTTTATATGATGAAATGTGAAACAGCTAGACACTCTAAAGATAAAATAAAATAAATTGCGTCATTATCATAAAATCCTGACAATTTCTTCAAAAATGGCCAAAAGATCAAACTATTTTTTTAATTAACATATTGCATAGAGTCCAACTTCTGATCCAAAATGTGTCGTTATATAATGAAAGAACTATTTCTGAACCTTATAATCCATGTTTTATTTTTTGGATCGAGGGGGGGGGGGGGGCTCATATTTTAATTCTTTGCTGAAGGTACTCAAATACTTATTTTCTTCAAAATTCTAGAACATTGCAATTTCATAAAGCCTTTTTTTTTTAAAAAAAAAACCTGGACTACCAGGGGAAACTTTTTTCTACATGAAATGAAAGCACCAAGTCTCTTTTTTATACTGATGTTTGAAGTGGAACATTTGGTCTTGTATATAGGCAGGACCATTTTATGGATAAAGTGAACCTAGCTCTTTAGGTCACGTTTTTCGAACATTTTATTTTACGAGTGTACACAGACTTTACGTGCTCCGAATTTGAGTCTTTTGGTAAAAAGAAAAACGTTTTTTTTCTTTATCTACAAAAGATATCGAGGTATAGTGCTCTAGGATAAGTACTCTCAATATAAAACACTGACCCCCCCCCTTTCCGAACTTTTGTCGACTTCTACTACCCGTGCACGTAATCCTGCATTCTTGCAAAGATTTATGACTTTTTCCAAAGAGAAAAGGCATTTTGTATTCCTTAAATTAGACTTCTGAGCGCCTTCTACTTTTTTGTGTTGTGTGCAATGCAGTAAAATTCATCGGATCAGTACTCAAACTTTGTGAATATCATACAAGGAAACATTGATGGTTTTAAAATTTGTTGAAAATAACATAAAATGCCCAATACTATCAAGACTTTCTTAATTTTATGGGGGGTCCTAGGCCCGTTGATCCGCCACTTCAGGTGACGATTCATTTACAATTCGATTAGAATTGTGTATATTACATATTATTATATTTCTAATGATTATAATTATACTTCAAGACGGTAAAATAACTATTATTATATAATCTGAAAAAAATGTTCACGTATTACGAAACTATACACCCCTCAGAAAATTTTCATTCAACTTTTGACGCCAATTTTGACTCTGATTTTCTGCAAAATATATGACTGGTTGGCGACTTCTCCAAAGCCATATAAAATGCATTTGCTATCCAACCCTCATAAATTATTATAGATATCAGTATAATACAATGCTATCCACTGGCTGTGAGTGGGAATGCTCTTTTATCAAACCCATGAGAGGTACTTATACCCGAGGGGAATAGTTCCTGTCTCAGGTTTATTGAAAGAGTAATCCCACTCACAGCCATTGAATAAGCAGGTAAGTGTATAATAGTTATCATTTTGAATTAAAAATTGCTCAGTGATATACACAATATTAGGGTTCGTGGTCATGACCTATAACTCTTGGAAAAGAAATGCTCTGTACGAAAATGTAGGAAATTAATATTACAGCTGGAACTAGGGACTTATATACATGTACTGGTATAGACGTCCATGCTGGAATATGAATTTTTTATCTTTTCTTTGATTAGAGAAATCATATTTCATATTTTTTGGCTGTGTCCGATTGGATATCCGTTGAATATTAATATTTCATTTGTCTAATGGTACAACAGAGAGTCGAGAATCCCATTGTAAACTGGTTACTTTTCAAGGAGAGATATTCATATCTTCGTTACAGGATGAGGTCAAAACAGGAGAAAGAACTCCCAGGGTAAACAATGGCAAAGATTAAGGTTCATTGACCCTCTGGCAAGAGAGATAACTCTCATTGGGATAAATGTCATTTCTTTATATATACGCTTGCCTTGACTACAATTTTTGTTAAGATTTTACCTATAAAGAACTATATGCGGTAAATGCATATTTTTGCCCCATAAAAAGGTAAATTTTGAAAATTTCTAGAAATGCACAAAATTGTAAATATTGTATTAAATTTTTTAACTAACAAAAATTATTATACATGTAGTTTGGAAGTATATTATTGTCACTGCTTGTTTCTAATTGAATATTCTGTTATTTTCAAGATAAAGGACAAAATGGACAAACTTAGTTCAATTTTGAGTACAGAATTTTCCAAATGCAAGCTTGCTCCAGAACAATATTCACAGATTTGATTGATATTATAATACTACACATTATATCTAAAGATACAGCTGGGGCAGATCTGCACTCAATGACTTTTAATCAAAATATCTCATTAAATACACAATTGAAAATTTGAATTTACATCATCATTCTGACATCATTTCTAACATAAGACATAAAATCCTTAAAGAAAAAAGGGTTGGGACTTCCAAATCACTTCGACATATCCATGGTATTCAAGATACCTAAGTTCAACTGTATATGTATTCCTCAGTGGCAATAATTTATGTTGGCTTTTTTCTTTCAAGGTACCGGTATCTTTGTTTTATAAAAAAAAAAAATAACACAAAATTGTCCTTAGAAAAAAAAAGATTTTTTATTATGTATTGCCCAGAAAATTTTCTATGCAGTACACTTTGCTTTGGACAATGGTACACATTTATTTACATATTAGCATTTCATCATGCAAAACAGAAGGAAATAATGTTAGCACATTTCCTGTCGATCTTCCCAAAACACACACACATACACGCACAGAACACGCATACAAACACTCTGAATGAATTCTATTCTTATAAAATCCCAATTAACATTCACAGCAATGTTTGTTATAGCAGGGTAATATCAGATCCCACGGGTCAGAGTACAATAGCTGCACTATTTATCTGGAATACATCAAATTGTTCAAGATCCACTTTTTATGTATAATTGCATTAGTTTCTAGAATTGAGAATGATTTTTAAGTTTGTAATGTTGTCCCATTACAAGATAAATACATGACCATGATAAACATGATCAATTCATCTGGTTAATTTTCTTTACACTTTTGTATCTAGATAAAGGTTAGAGAGTTCAAATGCGAAGTAAAAGCCTTATTGAATCCAAATATAATAATTTTGTGAAAATATTGAAGCTCTTTGTTTAACTGACATTGAAATTTCTAAATCTGGTTAAGAGTTGAATATTCCAACCATAATATGCTTTTTAAATAAATGCATCTTAAGATCTGTCAATTAACATTCAGGAGTACAAAGGGAGATAAATCGTTTATATGCTCTGTTATCTGCATCTTCTTGATGCTGCTTTATGTTAAACATGTTTGTTTCTCTTAACTGCATGATTACAACATAAAAATACAATATAAAGAAAAATAAATTAAAAAATAAAATCACAAAAGCACATGGAATGTAAAATAAACAAAATTTAAAACTGATAAATAAACATGAAAAGGGAAACAATCATTTTTTTGTGTTTTCAAACAACACTGTTTACATGGTTAAGGTTACCATAGTAACAGGTTATTTACTGTTACCATAGTAACCATTCAAGCCAGCAGAATAAACAATTTATGAAATAATTTGAAAGGACAACTAAATATATTATAAATTCACTATTTCAAATTGAGATGCAATTGATTGTCATAGAATTTAGTAAATAGAGGAGCATTCAAATTTTAGAATGAATTTGTCACACTTTCTTAAAAATCTTAATACATTGGTGTGTTTTGTTTTCTGCCAAAAATTACAGTTTAGGTGAACGTCATTGATAATCTAATATTCTATACCTAATGGCTACTCCACTGTATGAGGTAGTTCTTTGGAAAATCAGATTTGTTAAAGTAATTGTTGTATATTGTTATAGAATTGAGAAATTATTTGGTATCAATTCATATCCATTTCATATTAGCTTCTCTTCAAATAATACAAGAAAGTACTAAAGTACTGAAGAGAAATTGGAGCATATTCTTATTTAATAGATCTGACAGAATTTACATGTGACTTTCATACCAGAATTTAAAAAAAAAATCAATGAAATTACACAACCATAGCAGTACAACAGATGAAAGCATAGCCTTTCAGCCATTCCATAAATGTAAGAAATAAAATTTCAAATGCATCCATATGATTGAGAACTTAAAATAACCAATGAAATGCCAGCTATTATAACAGTGGAGGACAAACAAACCAATCAAAATACAGAAATATAACTGTTCCTCTCATACAACAACAAAGAAAAAAAATACTTTAAAATGCTTTAGGTAAAAACCAATGGATTTAACAATGACGAAAAATTAATGTAATAACTTAACATTTACACAAGATATGCAATCAAATAAATCCACTTCTCTCCCTTTGAAGGCTGAAAAAGTCACTATCTTTTTCATGTCCTTACAAAGGGCAGGTGGAATTGCTCCACAAACATCGTTATCATCGTTCCACAAATTATCCACGCTCCACTGAAACAATCACAATTCACAGATTTTAATCATCCACAGGCTACGGACACCTAGACAGCTTCCCAGAGGACCAGCCTTACTCACTCTTGGATCACTCGTATGTTTACGTCTTATTTCACCTAGGTTTTAAAGATGAAAATGGATTTTTCTCTCCTAACAGAGTTGAAAATGGAATATCCCAAGCTGGTATTGGATTTCTCTCTTAACAGACAATAAATCTCTTGGGCTGAGGAGGGACTTTTCCATTTTCTTTGTTGTAGTGGATTTAAGTTTTTACTCAGGTTTTCTAGAAACATCCATTTCCAAATTTCACCTTTGATAGTCTTCTAAAGGTTTCACGAGTTCTTCTAAGGAGAGAAATCACATGCATTAATGTGGAATAAAATGTAATTATAACACATATACAGTCAAACCTTGTTATTTTGAACTCGAAAAGGACTGAGAAAATACTTCCGAGATAACTGAGGATTTGAGATGACCAGAGTAAAATACTAAAGGAATAAGCAGTTAGGACTTTCCAGTCACTTCGACATATCCATGGTATTCAAGATATCCATGTTTGAGATACCGAAAATCAACTGTATCTTTCAATAGGACTCTCCCAAGAAATTACATTTCTTTCATATCTATTTATCTTAATTACACTCGAACTTAGTGAAATAATGTACATTATCTAGGTTTCAACCTGAATGGATGAAAACCTCTTTGTGATGTTATTCATTTGATACAAGTATGAACTTTAAGATAAAGGCATCAACTTACCATTATAAACCTTAAGAATAGCTTCACATACAAATTTGTATTGTGTCTGTAAAACAAGGAAAATATCAAATCAATTTAAAATATATATATGATTTTGTAAAATCACTTATTTTCATGAGGTCAAATTTACACGTTTTGAGGGGATTTGATTTCATGGTTAAAAGAGAAACCTCTTACTGCAGTATGAATTTTTAACATTTTGTGGGGGGACATGATTTCATGGGTCTCTTCATACCACAAAGACAAGGAAAATTAAACCCCAATAAAAAATAAGTGATTTTACAGTAGTTTTCAAAGGGAAATTTGCCTTAATAAAATTTGAAATTCAAAGAAACATTAAAAATTTCTGAAACTTTTCAATTAAAGTGTCTATTAAAATTGTTTGAGCTTGAGCAATGAGCAAAGAATCATGTCTGTTCTTACCGCCGTCTGTATGAGCATGGCTCGCTGATCTCTCATTTGGCGTACTATAGAGAGTGGATAAACAGGTTGGTTTGCCTCGATTAGACACATAGCTGTCTCCATGGTGATTAATACTCCTGTTCTTCCAATACCCGCACTGAAAAAAAAATGTTACAAAATTTGTCCTAAAAAAAATTCCTAATTCAAACTCACAAATTCAGTAATCGTCATTTATTATTTTATGGATTAACAAAAACATTCAAGGAAAACAGAATGGATATCAAAATATGAAACAGGAAATCTATTTCTCAATTAAAAAATAAAATTATGCATTCTTACAGATCTAAGACACTGACCATAATGATACGAGGGTATTTATGTCAGTGCTGAGTTGTATGTACGTTTTTGCCTGTAGTGAGGCTTGATTTGTATACCTACCTACAATGGACTACCGTGGGCTCTACCATACCCATTCTCCGCTGTCGAACTCTGAGAACAAATTCTAAGAAATCGGCCGGGTCGTCGGGAACGTTATGGTCTGGCCAGGCTATATACTGCATGTGTGATATGTGACGTTCTTCATTTGTCTAAATTTAAAAGATTTAATCATTTAAATATAAGTGCGGTAACAGATGGTAGAGAATGAGAATACCACATTAATTTTACTAAATCTAAAAGTGGGAAAACCTATCATACAAAAACCCTCTTTGGAAAACTCTTGACTTGCAGTATATCAAACAGCAAATTTCATAAAAGAACATAGGGTATTTCTTAAAGATCAAACTACATGCATACTATCTGCATTTGAAAGCTTTTTGTATTGACATTTATTAGGATGGATCCCTCATATATAAAAAATACCATAATACTGTATTTTTCCCTGATCATCCAATTTTTGCTTTGCAAGCAATTTTAGATCACAAAAAAATAAATTCAGACACATAAAATTGTCACCATGTACCATATAGATTACATAGATAGCTATTAAACCACAGGGATAATTGCAAAAATTAAGTTAAGAATTACAGTGTTTTGGTATATTTTTTGAAAAAATTGCATTGTATGATCTATACAACAAATCAATTAAGTCCAATCTGTACACTGACCTCTGCGTGGGTTAAATTAAATTCCCTAAATGCAAATGATGGCGTTTCCTCTTCTTTGACACATGTGATTTGTAACAACCCATAGTCCATTGTTTCATACATTTCTGGCCAGTACTGGTGACATTTCACTCGACCTTTTTCCACTTTCGTTGTCAACATCACAACTAAAGACGAGTGCTGTTCCCATACCATCTGCCAAAAATCTGTACAAGTTTTGGGTAGCGGCCCCTGGGCAGCGATGTATCGATTCACGATTCCACTGCCAGGTATTTCCATCTAAAAACAGAGGCAAAACTTCAGTTGAACAAACCTCATTAAAATTAAATTTGAAAATACTGCCAAAAAAATTTGTATGCCATTAATGATATACTCTAGAAAATTATTTTTAATGTCATTCACCATAAATCAATTTTTAATTAAGATACCTGGAACAGGATTTCCCATATAATTAGATAAACAAGTAACAAAAAAATCTCTGTGCCTTATCTCCCCACCCCCTCCCTCTCGTCAATAATACTGAAATCTTCATGTGATTTTTACAAACTTTTCCATCATTTTTGCCATGATTTACACAAACTTTGCCATCATCATGATCATAATGCACAAGCAAATACAGCTATAGGGACAGCTACAGTTAGTTTTATTATATCAATAATTTATTGCAATTGGATATTTATTATTTTCTAGCACATGTTGATAGAATAAAAATCATTAAATGTATGAATTTGCTATATATTTGTGGTGACTTACATTCACATAGTGGTGAACGATTAAATGTTGTAGTGACCTACATTACATGTAAACACGTTTTACTGTGTATCGGTAGTAACCTACATTAAACATAAACACAATTTACTGAATATTTGTAGTGACGTACATTCACATAGTTGGCGTTAATGTAGTCCCCTCCTGACACATTTTGTTCCTTCAGTATAACTCTGGTCTGGTCATCTGTACAAAACCACAGCAATTAATTATATGACTAATTAACAAAGAGATCTCTAATTAGTGTCTTACCAGTCAAAAGCTTCCTTGATTCAAAGATTTTTCAATAAATGGAGAAAGCTCTATGTCTAATAATGTAAACCAACTATTATTCACAACAACTTTTATTCTCCATTCGTCAGTTTGAAATTTATCTACTGAGACAACTAATTTTCACAACAGAAGATACATTCTCCATACCTACTACAATTAAATACCGTAAATGGTTCTCAGAAAGAAATGTTCATGAGTAAATGAGGGCCGTGAAATAAGCAGATATTACTCAAGGGCCATGATATTGGCAAATATTACTTGAAGGCCATGAAATTGGCAGATTTTTCTCCCAGATGAATAAAAGTCCATTTACAGTATATCCTCACAACAATGCAGAATAAATTAACTTTTACACTGACACTGGTAGCACTGGTTATAAGCATATCACAAAGTTGGTGGGTACCTATATCTCTTAATTGTGAAGATGTTTTTGCAAGCATCAAGTTCTTTAACAAGAGGTTGTTTTAATATGCAGAGCCACTGTTTGCTTTCTAGGTTAAGATTACTTGCCATTGCAATACCTTGATTCAATCTTTAATTTAACTGACTTGACAGTATTTACAAGCTTATTAAAATTTTTAAATTTTATTGAACTTTTCATTGACTATTTTTACTTTTCAAGTGATGACTGCATAAGCTGATAATAACAGAGAGCCTTACATGGTGAAATATCCCTGTAGCGATTCTTGGCAATGTTGACATCCAGTCGAGCTGCATTCATTGTCATACCAGGCTTCTTTCTGTACAATTGCTGCAAAAACAAATATTACAGATAAGTACAGGATGGTACGGAGTCATTTTTCCCCTACTTCATGAACATACGTGCTGAGATATTAAACTCTAAGAAACATCTGGCATGTACAAGCTCAACTTTCTGACAAGTGAATAACAAATTAATTTATTTAGCACAACTTTAAACTATAATCATTTAAATGAATAACATTGCCTTTTCCTTTGCTAGATTTTCTCTTTATTTTCAGACCTAGTGTTTTGTTGAGACTATTTTATTGTTTACCATTTGTACCCATCCCTTCCGACTAAATTCCAATGCACTCTGCTTGAAACTGAACCAGTGCAGCTTCAGTTTCTCCAAGAATCCCAACTTTATATACAAAATTGCTGTCAATTCCTCTGTAGAATAGACAACATCCCATTGCCTACACTACATGTATCTTATCTCTTCATTTAAATGCTGTATACTGGGTTATTTTCGCCCTGTGTTATTTTCGCCCTTTCACATTTGTAAACAATTTTGCCCCATTTCAAATTCGCCCAGTCACAGTTTTGCTTAAGAAATTATACTGTGTTCTTTGAATTCGCCCCATTTTAAATTCAACCACCTGTAAGCAGGGCGATTTCCCTGTATACAGTAAAATATTTCTAACCATACCTCAAACTGAGCAAGCAAGTGCAACTCCACTGTTCACTTTCCCTTCATTCAAATAAATTATTTTCACTCAATGCCAAATTAATCCAGTGCCACACACCCCTCCCCCACCCCACCACACACAATCTATATTCATATTAACTCACCACCCCTTCACATAAAACATTACTTACCCTACCTAAAAGTAAAAAGTAACCAAGTGATGCCCAACTGCCTACACTATTTCATGACCCACTAACCTACATTTCATGACCCATATATTTTATGACCCATTGCCATCCCATTGTCTACACTAGATTTACCCTATCCATTTCTTCATATAGAATAGTTTTTACTGTACCTCAAATTGACCCTCTACTACCCCAATGTCTACACTAGATTTTCCCTATCCATGCTTTTTACCATATCTCAAATAGACCAACTGCCACCCCCTGTCTACACTAGTTTTACCCTATCCTTTGTTTTTTTTGTTTTTCACTGTACCTCAAACTGAGCCAGTGTCAACCCCACTGCCTACACTATATTTACCCTATCCTTTCTTTAACACTGTACCTCAAACTGAGCCAGTGACCCCCCCCCCCCCCCCCCACATACACATTGCCTACAATAGCTTTACCCTATCCTTTGTCTTTTCGTGCCTTTAAATTGTGCCAGTGCTGCTCCACTGCCTACACTAGATTTACCCTATCCATTCGTTTTACTGTACCTCAAATTGTGCCAGTGCAGCCCCACTGTCCAGACTCTCCTGTAATAACATCAGAGATGCCTCCAGTGCGTTGGTTCCAGTTCCGGCTCCAGGTGCTATGATCTGGTAGTTCTCTGGTAAATATTCCAAATTTGGTTCCTCCTGTGCCTCCTCACCAACATAAACTATAACAAGAGACAAACTGATAATACGTGTTTTACTGTATATAATAAAAGGCATCAAAAACTCTTGAATTTTTGGAATCAAATAAAGATTTCCATTGCGATAGTGTTGCTGTTGTTTCAGAAACCTTACCATTGGGCCTAACTATGAGCACTAGTTCTCCAGAATGAGTTTCTCGTGAAGCACGAATAAACATCACAACCTGCAAGTGAAACATGCAAAGTTAACAGAAAAATTTATTTTGACTACAGAGTTTTGTGACATGCTTATTCAATCAAGAATAATTTTAATTTTTTTTATTATTTTAAAAAATATCACAGTCATCAAACCCTTCCCCCCAACATTAATTTTTTTTTGCACATGTGTAGGCTACTCAAAGTGCTGTACCTGTTCATGTGTATGCTGGGACACATCACGTCCATTTATAAATAGCACTTGGTCTCCCTCATTGAGGCGGGGAATGGCCAGGTCAGCAGGAGTGCCCGGGGCTACCCTAGATACAATGATAGGCATGCCCTGGTCAGCTCCTCCCTGCAAACATAGCAACACAGTAATTATTTGTGCACTGTAGATCACCAAATTTTCCGGATACCTTACTTTGGTTTTTATCGATCAGCAAGAAAAAAATTCACAAATTTCAGTTATTGTTGTATAATCAGAAGTAAGAGTGAAATTCTGGAACACAGAGTCATGTGTAATTATACGAAAATAAAGTTTTTATCCAATCAAAATATTGCCAAGAAATTGAACAACCTCAGGAATCACTTCTTTTTTTTTTCTAATTCCTTTGTCATTTTTCTTTTCTTTTTTTTTTTTTTAAATATACAATAATTAATGATACATACTTTGCTTTTTTCCATTTTTTTCAGATTCTAACTACATAAGCATAAAATAATTATTTATAGACACTAACCTTGACATTGAATCCAAACCTTCCTTGGTCGTCGGGCCTCATCCTGATGGTAACCAGACCATGTCCTTCAGAGTGACTATTGCCGTTAGGCTAAAAATAGTAACAGAGACAAATTAGTCCGAAACAAATTAATCAAGATACTCAACTTGTAGATGGCTATATATTATTGTTACATCTTATTTTTGATAGCTATTGTCAGTGGTATTTATGAGCAAAACAAAATTTCAAATGATTTTTGTTATATATAATCCTTAAGTTATACAAATATACATGAGGATGAAATTTTTGCCACCAAAATTAAGCAAAAATAAAGAAAGTGATTCACAGTATGAGCTACACACTAGCATTCAGCCTAAAATTTCAGTCAAGGTCAGTCCTAGGTCATTTGAAGTACACGAGTTTAACTTTCAAGAATGTCTGAGAACCCCCCCCCCCCTTTTTTTTTTCATAAATCAATTTGTACACCAATATACCACAAAAAAGAATTAAATGAGAGATAGAGAATTAAAAAAAATAATTACCACACATATACATGTATTACAAATACACATACAATTTATATAATCCTACAAGTAAAACTATGTTTCAGTAATGCTTTCTTCTCAAACATCAGCTGTTTATATACTGTAACTACATGAACTCATACATATAATTATACAGCAAGGAGTAATTACCCATGGAATAATTCATTAACCAATCAGCATATATACACAGATCTGTCTGGTATTAATAACCTTCTCTGTGAGAACAGATGTCATTTTTTTCTCAGCATGAAACCTCAAGCTTATAGTACAGACAGAAGCCAGTACATAGATCTTATTATAGAATTGGCAAACCAAAACACAGAAAGTGTATTATAATAGGAGAACCGATAATCTCCAAATTAAGTGATGCTGGCAGGATCTTCTCTCTCAACTCTCTCTCTCTCTCACACAAATAGTGTTGTCTTCCAAAATTGCAGAAATAGAAAATTTAACCTCTATATTTACCAATATTAATAAATTTAGCCTCCTGAGTGCACATTTTAAAAGCCCTTTGAATCTACCAAATGAGAGAATGTTCTATTCACTTTTTTATATTTCAATTAATTTAGAAATGTTTTTTATAAAACTCTGCACAGACAAGACAGAGTGATAAAACAAACAAGAGTCACATTCAAACAGACAGACAACACTTAGATGTCCCTAGCCAGAAAATTGTGTGGATTATTTGACCTTTGTTTATATTTTCCTACATCCTGATTTCAAAACATGACATCTCCAATAGAGAACCCAGAAACGGCAACATTACCTGATTAGAGGGCAAGTCCAGTTCATTAAAGGCAGTGAATAAAATATCTTCATAATTAATCATTGTGCCCATGTCTTCTAGCTTCAGATCTGATTTTACTTCATTGGATTGATGCACACCATCTGAGGATGTCACCTCTGATTTGATATTTTCTTCAATCATCTTTTATCAACACTTCAATGGTCTTTTTTAGTATTCCAACCAAGATTATTTTAGCGAAAAAAAAGTACTTTACATATATTTGGCATTTTAAAAAAAATGCACGTGTTCCAATAATGGGAATTCCAGAAAAATAAAGTGAGCTTATATCATCTAATTAGCACATCTTTTCATCAAATTGAATGGTTTTCTACAGAAATTAACTTTTTCAGTCTGCATATACTTTTAAATGTGCTATTCCTGACTATGACGCAAATCCATGTGTGGAATACAATGATTTTTCCAAGAAGTGATCACCACACTGTCATTTCGAGGGATTTCTTAGAAATTCAGACAGATGGAAGGCTGCGTCACTCATTTTTCTCTCCAATACAAGATAAAATCTCTTAATTTTTTTTGGTCATATATATGTAGCATTTTCAACAACAAAAATACTCCAATCACCACAGAATTATGACACCTACTGAGGAGTAGACCGTGTAAAACATTTCTGTAAAGATGAACAGGTAATCAAGATATACCAGAAATAATCGCATAGAATATGGCTGATGTCTTTGGAAGTTGAGTTATACTTATCACAAAACTGTGTTACCCTTAATGATTAGTATCCACTGGAAAACATCCCCAGAATCATTATAAAATGTTCACTCAAATAATCCCACCACAAACTCTCATGACTGAATGTCAGTATGTCATCCATGAACACCAAGATTTCTTATGAATCGGAATGACATTCTAAAGAAGATTTTTTTCTCTTTAAGGATCAAAAAATCTAGTTGTGTAGTTAATCCAATCAGTAAAACAGTGATGCGATTATATCCCACACTAATTAATGTCACAGATCAGAGAAGAAGAACAAGATGCAGGTTTCCGAGCCCACGCAAATCACCAGACAATTTATTTCTGTACATAGTAAACATGCCTTCTCCCCGATCCCTCCAACATGCATTCCCTGACATCTTCTATCAATCCCTCTTCTTAAATCTTCCTGTCACATATCCAGCTAATCTTTACTTGGAGTCAATAACATCATTTTTCACAGAATGGAAGGGACATATAGCTACAGAAAGGTCACTATTTACTATTTTTCTTCACTCATCATCAGCTACAGAATGAGACAAGGTAGTTCCAGTATTAACTAACAACAACAGTTCAACATCAATCCCTGATCCACCAAAGACGTCCGTCAAGGCTTTGCCAGCTACGATGTTTTGACATGTGCATGATATTGAGTCCCTGGTTTTTATGCACAGGAAATGAGTACATAAACAAGTGCCAATAATCACCGGCCTAATGACATTAAACACAGGGTCAAACACATTGTAGTAAAGGTGAGAGGATGTAGGTCAAAAGACAGGTGTGTTAATATATATGGCATATATCTACACACCTGAACAAGTTTTATCATTTGGGGGTGGGTGGAGGGGACTCTTCAAATGAGTGTTGATCTTTGGTAAAACAATTCCATCCAAGGAAGGTTATGAAATAACAAGTGTTAAGTAGGTGTGGGATGAAATTTTATATGTCAATAAAAATCGTAATTCTTGATTAAGAGTGCATCTTTACCATGTTTACAACAGTTCTAAAAAGAAGCGTTATCTATGCCATTTGGATTTCATGTCCTTATTTTTTTTTTCAGTAAATTGTGTCTGGTAAATTTGTCTTTAAGGAGTTTCTCTTAATAACAAGTAAATTAAAAGTAAAATATTCTCCTTTTGAATACAGAAACACATTATGCAGAGAAAATCACAACAATGATGGCCCCAAATATACAAGGTAGCTAGAAGAATAAACCTAGAGTATGTATAAACACACCCAATAATCAAAATATTGCCCTTAAGAAAGTCGCACTATAAAGACAATTGCTACTCTTAAAAGTAGGGACTTTTTAATGGCAGGTAAATAAAAAGAAGGCCACGAGTGCTATTATATAGCACATTTTTTATTTAGGTGGGGTGAAGGGGAGGGGTAAATATAGATATATATATGATAACACATACTATTTGATGGGTAATTTAGTTCATCATGTAAATTGACATTTAAAACTTCTCTTGAAAGGTAGCATTCAAAGTTTTGCATTATTCCATTTTTTCCATTTCTTGCAATTTCTATTCATTTGGGGAGAGGGGATTCTTATTACACTTTATAAAATTTACGACAGGTACCTGGTTCCTCTATAGATACCTTTATCACTCTTGTCCTAAATGTGTTACACATTGTAACTAAATTTTACAGGTATTTACTTAAAACCTTTCAAATGCCACACTGGAGTTTTCTCAAAGCACACAAATCATTTTTTTCTTTCAAGTCTTAAAAACTATTAAAAAAAAGTTATTTGTCATTTTTCTCACTATAATACTTTTGAAGATACATGTATATGCTAGGTATGTCTTTTCATCAATAACTCGGATGCTTTTTTGAAATTCAAAGTTAATTAAATATGACCAGAGACCTTCCTGTCACCTAGAAAAATTCTTCATTTTTAACTTGGCTTATTGCTTAAAGCAAAGAATTTTCTTAGTTTAACACACATGCATTTTGAGAGGAAAGATAACTCTCCACTAATGGAGGTAAAAAAGTGTATGCATCAGGTGTTCATATGCATGAGACATAGATGGTATGTCGTTTATTTTTATGTTACTGTTACAATGGAATTCAATATTATGCAGAATCTCGTCAAAACACTGCCCTCTCCTACATACCATTACACTGCACCATCAGGGTAATATGTCATAGCAACACACTTGTCATTAGGGATTCACGTGGATGGAAAAATGGCAGCTAGAGTATATTAAAATACTACTTGACAATCAAAACAGGCAATTTCTTGATTTCACCACATCAAAATTATCTTTCTGATTGTTTTTTTTTTTTTTTTTTTTTTTGATGATTCTCCAATGAAATGTCATGAATTAACATATATTACAACTATTATAAAACTCTGCAATAAAACAGTCCTGCAAACTTGGAAGTACTCACAAAAAAAGCCTCCAAAAACAAGAAAACAAAAAAAACTCATAGATCTTCAAGAGATTTGAGATTCCTTATAATTGCTGCAGGAAGCTGACCGCCTCACTTTAAGATCCCTGGTATTATACATAAAGATACTAAATGCTGACCGTTTACTTCATCAGAAGCCACTCCTTACATAAGATACAAACCTTTATTTTGTATGCATCCTTCCTCATTAAACCTTTTTTTGGAAATCACAGAGAAAGGTCTGAATTATGAGCTATTCCTTATAACCTCTGCAGATATACATTTGTTGCCTTGCACAATTAATCAGATTTAAAGATTACTGTGAATTTATTAATCCTGCATGTGCAGTGCACTTGAATGGAAAAATGACATTAAAAAGAAAATATATGTATATTTGCAATTCTAAAGGCACTTAGGATTTCAATATGATCAAAGTTAAAACTGTCTTCGAGTAAGGTCTGCCCGCAAGCTGAACATTATACTATAAAATAGTTATGAGGTTGACAATTTTGCATAAGTTTATTGAAAAGAAATACTCCTAACTTTACTTACACCAGCATTGAGTTGCACCAATCCAAATGCAAGGTCACTCCCTATCAAACACTGTCTAACAACCAGGGGACCAGAAACCCCTGGCTCTGATGATGTTTGACTAGTTTTTC